TTCAAATCTCACCGGCTGAGGGTTGACTCAGCCTTCCATCCTTCCTGGGTGCGTAAAATGAGGACCCAGATTGTTGGGGGCAATATGCTGACTCTCTGTAAACCGCTTAGAGAGGGCTGAAAGCCCTATGAAGCGGTATATAAGTCTACTGCTATTGCTATTGCTATATCGTATTAGTTATAAGAAGACCATGTCGATTCCCCCACAAAGTTACAAGCAGTTGGACTCAACTCAGGGAGACATCCTTTTTTAATAAAAATGTGATCAATGACCAAAAAGGGTAATCCAGAACAGCATTTTGACATTTTAAAAATCCCTTATGTTTTCAGTTCAAATTTTAAAGGGAATATTGAGAAAGTTACATTAGAAATGAAAACTGGACCCAAAACTACCAAATAATAACTCCTTACTAGGTGCACAGGATTTATAGGACTATGGGGCTCATTGGTTGCTCCAGGAAACAGCATTTTGGAAGGCCAGATTTCTGTTGCTTTCCAAATGCAGTGTTTTTCCTTCCTTCCTTCCTTCCTTCCTTCCTTCCTTCCTTCCTTCCTTTCTTCCTTCCTTCCTTCCTTCTTCTGCTGCTGACAGGCATCTTCTCTCCACAGAGGGTTGAAGTGTGTAGTGTGTTGCCTATTCGTGTATTCATGATAGATTCAGGTTATATTTGCTGATCATTTGCATCATGATTGACTTGTTTTATTAAGACCTTACCAGATAAACATTAGTATTTGTGGGAAACGCATCAGGCATGCTGATTGTAAGATGAGAAGCACAACTTCTCATCTCAATATAGTACAGCACCATTTGGCAATTTCAGGAGCAGCTTAGACTGAGTAGAGGCGGAGTCTTATATTATTAGCTGATTTTAGTTCACTTCTGTGCAGCATATTCAGCAACGCAGGATGTTGATGGAAGCCCCCCCCCCTTCAACTAAAAGCTACAGTATTTTCTGTTTAATTCCATCTTCCGGTAAAGGCTGTTCCTCTAACAGCTCAGCTGTGACTCATCCTTCGCTGCTTCATTCTGAGAGCATTTGTTTCAGTTCAGGACATGGCGGAAAATACAAAGGGACATGTCAGTGTATAAAGTCATTAACTTCAAATTGTGATGGCTATAGGAGAGGAAAGAAAGACAGAAGAGTGAGGCCAGGTTCTTTTATTGTACTGAACACTACACATCTATTTATTATGCATTTGTGAGAATTATATTCCTTTCATCCTCCAGGAACTCCAGACAGTTTACACATGCTCCCTCCTCCATTTTATCTTACATGAAAACTTGGAGGTGAGCTGAGCTGAGAGAGAGAGAATGATTTGCCCAAAGTCACCTGTAGAGCTTCCATGATTGGGCATGGACTTGAATTGAATCTCCCCAGGGGAGGAATAATTTTGATAATGTGTATGACTAGAAAAGCCAAGGTGGCGCAGTGGTTAAATGCAGCACTGCAGGCTACTGCTAGATCAGCAGGTCAGCGGTTCAAATCATTCTCTCTCTCTCAGCTCAGCTC